ATGCAACACCAACACACACAACGCACTCACTTAATCGAAAAGAGATCAGATATATGTGTGTGTGCGTGTGTGTGTTGTGTGTGTGTGTGTGTAGATGTACGGAGTTCTCAAGGCCAGATATACATACACATTAATGCGGAGGGTCAATCTGTCGATGGGTAACGTCTGTAATAGGCCGTAGAATTAGCGCACGTGGGCAGACAAATGTGCGAGGAGGAAAATTTATAATACAAAATTTTGGCCACTCCAAAAAAAAAAAAAAAAAAAAAAGAGAGGCGATGAAAAGCACGAGTCTTTCCACGTTACTATTGATCTTGAGCGAACCTTCCTTGAGAGTTCTTCTGCTACTATGCACATTCTAGTCCTGACGCTGTCGTTTTGTGTGGTCCGCTTCTCGTGGACTCGTGCCACGTGTCGCGACAAACCAAGCTCCAGTCACTGAACCCACTCCCTTCGATCACCTCTCTCTCTCTCTCTCTCTCTCTCTCTCTCTCTCTCTCTCTCTCCACGCTACCCGCATACAAGTTACCCCTCTCTCTCTCTCTCTCTCACCACGCTACCCGCATACAAGTTACCTCTCTCTCTCTCTCTCTCTCTCTCTCTCTCTCTCTCTCTCTCTCTCTCCCCTCCCCTTCAGGGATTTCTGTCGTCAGGCTTGCGGCTGTACGAGCGTTGAGTTGTCTATTACAAATCGACAGACTGCAGCCGGTGTCAGACTGTCACCGTGTCAGACTGTTACCGTGTCAGACTGTCACCGTGTCAGATTGTCAGAGTGCTGGACTGCCGGATGTCTCTGCTTGTCTGTCTGTAATCGCCTACCGCGACAGGCTGCAAGGCGGAATATTTGTCTTCCCCACCTGCAAGAGTTATCCCCCACAGGCCAGTGTGCTGGTGTGTATTTGCGCGCAGTTTGCGGTCATCGTAGGTCTATATCGCCCAGTTCCACGGTACTGCAGTTCTCAGCACCGTGCGCACCCTTTCGGGCTCCCACAAACCTAAACCCTAAACCCTGAAATAAAACCCAGTTGCCGCTCCGTCTGGCACACACTCACAGGGATATCCACAGCCCTCAGGCTGCTGTTCTAGTTCATCGCAGGCAGGTTTTTACAACGTTGGGTCTAACAGTTTGCAGACGGTAGGGCATGCGTTATACTGGATTATGGTTCGACCAGGGGACCTTTGTGGGAGGACTACTGGATTATTGTTATTTTTTTATTTATTTTTACTACTGTTTTTTTTTTGTTTTTTTTTTTTCCCAACCACTGGTACTTGACCCAGCTATCCATGTAGAGCCAAGAACCGTCCTGCGCGCCAAGTTTCGGCGAACCGCCAGTGCGACACTGGTCCAGCACGAGATAGCGGCCCAATGGAAGACAGTTAAAGATGAGCTCGACCTGATGAATACCTGGGAGGACATGAACAGGATCATCTCCACATTTAGCAAGGACTGGCTAGGCGGAGAGAGGGAGGGATGGGTGGCCAAGGTGTCATGGACCGGCCGCCAACCTGAAAGGGAAGTGCAGGGAGAACCTCGGACAGGGATAGTAAGCGACTACCAGCTGATATTCCACGATTGGACCACAATTGATCCCGGCAACCCGCTACGACCTGCCCAGGACTTCGCAGATCCCTTCCCACCCCACCCGCTGGCCCTGGCCGAAGTACTGCCAGTTGCATGAGGCCCGGCTCCAGCAGGCGAAGCAGGCGTTTGGCTTGATCCTCGGGGCTGCTGGGTATTTAATGTTGCCAGGCCCCACAATCCCCGCTCCCCACATTCCTCACCCCGCTCAGACACTCAATGGGACGTCATGAGGACAGTAGGGGGAGCACAGGAGCTAGGGGGAGGGGTAGTGTTTTGTACACATGTATTCATGGGACGCTGGGCCGGGTTCCCAGCAGGAGAGGCTCCCCACACAGCCCTCAGGAATTTTCAGCACCCTTCAGTAATTCTCAAAAAACTGCAGCTTGTTTTCTGTTGCTTTAATGGGCACCATGAGGATAGTGGGGAGATGGCAGAGGCTAGGGGATGGAGGGAGACTCCACCGGTGCCCCCCGGTGGCCCCCCCTCAATACCCGACCCTGCTGCAGGATTAGGATAGGGGAGGGATACTGTTTTGTACACATGTAATCATGGGACGCTGGGCCCGGTTCCCAGCAGGTGAGGCTCCCCACACAATCCTCAGGAATTTTCAGTACTCTTCAGTAATTCTCAAAAAGAATTTTGCTGATTCCAGCTGATTTTACTGATTTTACTGCAGCCTGTTTTCTGTTGCTTCAATGAGCGCCATGAGGATAGTGGGTGGATGGCAGAGGCTAGGGGATGGAGGGAGACTCCACCGGTGCCCCCCGGTGCCCCCCCCCCAATACCCGACCCTGCTGCAGGTTAGGTACGGAAGAACAGAGTGAACATGGGACGCTGGACCCGGTTTCCAGCACTTTGGCGTCACTATCATTGATGTATCGTGTGGCAAAGATGTATTTTTGGGACGCTGGACCCGGTTTCCAGCAGGTGTTGCTCCCCACCAATAGATGGAGCGGCCCGCTTGGCAAAACCTCAATCCCGGTGGTTCTCTTACCACCACCAGGATAGAGGGCTTGCACCAGGGCCTTTCAAAAAAAAAAAAAGGAAAAAAAAAAGACGTTTCTTTTCTTTTGTTTTGGCTGGCGCCTCCAGGCTTTGTGGTGCGGTACCCCGAAGCGCGCAGGCGTCGGCGCGTTAAACCACCAGTACTTGGCCCAGCTATTGATCCCGAGCCTAAATATGCCCTGCGCGCCAAGCTTTGCCGAGCCGCCACCGCGCCGTTTCGACTTTCTTTTGGCTGGCGCCTCCAGCCATTGCGGTCCGGTAGGCCGAAGCCCATCAGTCACGGGGCGTTTCCGGAAACGCCCGCGGCCGATGTATGGGCCAAGTACTGGTGGTTTAACGGCTAAGGCCCAGGGCCGATAGCTGGGCCAAGTACTGGTCGTTTAAACTAAGCTGTATTATTCTCTCAATTTCACCTTTCACTATCTACCTACCACTACTCCTAAACATATACAGGGGACCCCTGCAAGAATGGCTATGGCCAACACTCTCCCACGCACCACACACAGCCCCCTCACACTCACACTAACACCCATGTTGGTCATAGACCCTACTAATACTGATCAAGCAGACTATCACAGTCGGTTATGGTTTGAAGATGAAAACTATTGAAATTGATTGTGTGATCGAAGGTTCGTTTTATCAGTCATACGATTGTGGAGGTCTAAGTTTTTCGTCTTTTCACTTTCTTTCAAACGATTGATTGTGCTTGCGATGTTTAAAGACCAGAGTTAGAATCAGTGGCGTTACTTGGATTTTGAGGTGGTACTTGATAGGTCAGAGAGTTTCAGTCCCGAGGGCCCACAATAATATACCTATTGTCTACCGCGTGGGCGCGGGGAACGCAGCCCTAAGGTAGCCAAAGCAATGAGACTAAGA